TATTTAAATAAAATTGAGATTTATAAATTATTTATCAATTTGTTTAAACACTTGAATTTATAAATTGTTTAGATATCTAAGTAACACACTTTATTTAAATTTATTACAAAAGATACTATATATAGCTTGATAGTTTGAAAACCTTATATTTACTATACATTAATAAATATTATAATAAAATATTATTTAATTCACATAAATATTAATAAAATGATATATAAATATTCATAAATCATTAAACATGTAGTCATAAAAGTATTGTTAATACGATTATTTGAAGTGTCGACTACATCACATTCATGTAATAAAATATTTTCATTATAAAATTTATATTTAGGTTCAATAATCGATTTGGTGTGGTCGAACTGATACATAACTTAATCACTTGGGACCAACCATGTTGTGTCAAGTTTTTTGACTATTTTAAATATCACATAAAAGTAATTCAATCAACCTGGGCAGTACCCTAATTCAATCATCCAATTGATCCGAACAAATTTTCTTATTTTCTTTAAATATATTTAATTTTATGAAATAAAAATATATTATGATTCATATAATAAATGTTTACACCAAATGATANAATTCAATCAACCCTAATTCAATCACTAGATTGATCCAAAGAAATTTCCTTATTTTCTTTAAATATATTTAATTATATTGAATAAAAATATTTTATGATTCATATAATAAATGTCTACACCAAATGAGAGTATATTAAGATTATAAATTACATATTTAAAGATGAATTAATTATTTTAACTTTATATATATTAATAAAAAATTAAACAAAGTAATTTTCAAAAACATTAAAATTAATTTATTGATTGTGAAATTCAAAGAATAATTTTAGCGTTCAATATTATTTTAAAGGAACAAATATAAAGACCGAGATTCTAAAATTTTTATAATATTTTGAATTGAGATTTCATAAATATAAAAACCATATTTTAATGTTATTCGTTGTTTCTAAGAAAAAAAATAAAAATAAAAACATACACATATAATAAATCATAGCCGGAATTTTAAATAATAAAAATAAATCATAGCCGGAATTTTAAATAATAAAATGACTAAAACCTAAAATTGAAGGTAGCATTTAATGTTGTATGATTTTTAAAGAAAATAATAATAAAAATAATAAAACTTACTATTTATAGGCTGCATTAAATTTTGACATATTTTGTTGATACTATTTTTAGTAAATGGTTATTCTTATTATATACTCCCTCCTATTTTTAATTAGTGTCATTTTGAGAAGTTGCATAGTAATTAAGAATTTTTTTTTGCCAATAATAACTGATGGAGACGAGATCGCGATGGCATATATGGAAAAATATGATCGTTTACCATCTCTAGTTTAGTTATTTATTTCCTAGATATTTTATTATTATGTTTTATTCTCTTTTCCTAGGTATTATTATTTACTTGATTAGCAAGATAAGAATTAGGACTAGTTGGGACTTTATTTATATCGCCTCTTTCATTTGAAGACATTGAATGTTTATGAATAATTTTATCGTATCTTGAAATTTATCTCTTATTCCCTTTTCGTTTACGCTGCGCTACATCAGTCGGTATCCAGGGTTAGCTACGATCCACGATGCCGCCCAAAAGGAACGATACGGCTGACGACANTATATATATATAGATGAGTCGGATTGATTAAGGGCCAAGTTCCGTACGTAATCGATACGGAAACATTTCTCGTTACATTAACCACACCACAGGTGATGAAAGATTTATCATTTTAATTCTGCTACGTTAAACCCATTTCCATCTCAAAAGGTCGAACGTTACATGTATCTAACTGAAACATTGCAACAGGTCAGAGTGAAATATAGGTTCACGAGTCCGCCATTGTCTGTGTTGTATAGTCACACTAGTAAACGTTATTATGTTTACATATTCATTATACATGCTGATGGAGAGTTGATAAATGTTGGGGAAAAGCAAGAAGCCCTGGAGACTCTGACCTGAATGAGAGAATAATGTGGGAGGTATAGGGCTTGGACTAAAACTCATGAGAGAATAATGTTCAAGTATGTGGAGTTATGTGTCGAGATGAGAAGGGGAAGGCACGCCAAAGATGGCCTTATCCAGTATCGTGGCATCTGCCAACAGGTTAATATTACTTCTGTAAAGGAAGTGATAAATCATTTCATGCAGTTGGCCACTGATAAGGCTGAGCTTTGAAAGTCAATTATTTTTAACACATGTCAATCAATGATTGTAATGTTAATCCACGTAGGTATAATGTTAACAAAGTATAAATTTAAATCAAACTAGTATCTCCAATGCATCAATTTGATAAGAATAGATTGACCAATTAAAATAATAATTAATACAAGAACAATAAAAAATTAAATCAAATATAAAGTAAATTGATTAATCATCATGTTATGGTGTTAGATATTAGAAAGTGTGTTTAACATTGTCAACATTAAATGCTATCACCTCATCATGAAAGGGCTCATGAAAAGATGCATTAGAAAATAAATTAGTAACACACTTTCAAAAGTTGATGATATGAATAAATTTTTATAATGTCAAAAGCCACATTAGAGATGCTCGGTTTTTGACAACTCATTTTCTTACAAAACATCTTGCTTGGGCCTCGTGAAATATCTGAGACATAGGTCATGCACCGTCTTTCCCACATTGTGCATTTTCAATTCTGCTTCTCTAATTTAACCTGAATGTTTACAGTAAGGTTTAAATGTCTATCCTTACACATGCTTGATCCTAAACAATAAAATTAGGTAAAATCTCTCTCTTACATAATATAAGAAATGCTTGATCCTAAACAATAAAATTAGGTAAAATCTCTCTCTTACATATAAGAAAAAGTATGAGGGATTGAGAGATTGACATGTGTCACTTTTTTGATTTACCAAAATGCCCCTGTATTGATCCTCTTTTTACAATTGACGTCCTCCTTTCTTTCCACCCAATCCAGAAAAACAGCTTTCCCGATAGTGTGTCAGACGTCTCTACCCAAAATCTCACAAAATCTACCAAATCTTTTTTCATATCTTTGACAAGAAAATCAGATCTCCTTTTAATCTCTTTCTATCATCCTCCTGCATCAAATTTTTACGCAACTTTGCTCCGTTCTTCCGAGCTTAAAGTCGAAAGAGGCAGAGGGCGTCAGAGTCGCGGACGCAACGAATGACGACGGAGACGGTCTGGTGCGGCCTGGTAATGGAGTCCAACGAGCGCCCCTGCAACTGACGTATGACGAATTCTGCTAGCCCACGACCTCTATTCTCCAGAGGCTAGGGTTTGGTGGTCGCGAAAAAACAGGACTGCCTACATTTCTATTTCTCTATCTTCAGTGTAAAATGTGACATTATGTGTAATTTTTTTTTCTTGGTGGACCTTTTTGCAGGTGGATCTGGTCAGGGATGCTTCAATGGCGGAGGATCTGAGAACGGTGTCAAGGGCCACTCTGCTCCAGCGAAAGACAAAGGTCAGCGGCTGCCGCCGCAGGTGTCAGCGTCTTCCATTTCTATTCAGGTACGATAAAATTACAGTGAGGGATATATGACCCTCCAAAACACAACGGCGGTATAGAACTTTGTTCATAGTCCATCTATCATTTCTATGAATGCCTAAACAATGTTAGATATAATGCCCAAATGAAACAGTACGGTGCTCACGATTATTTTGATCAATTAATGTTTATCATTTTTTATTTTTTTTTTGAAGGGTTTCTTAGTTGACTACGAAGTTAGTGCTGCAGAAGCTCAACTTGTTTGAGTTTTGGTAAGCTATTACTTGCTCATTACCATGTACTTGCTTTTAGTGGTTTAATAGGCCTTTTGCATAGTTTTATGTGAGAAAAAAGATTATCCAGCACCTTACAAGATGTTTGGACAGAGTCCAAGAAGATTGTAAATACTTAAGTGAGTGGTCTATCATATTTAGTAGCACCTTATATGGAGTAGTAATTTTCAGATTATGATTGGGATCATATACCTGCTAGCTTTATTATTATTATTATTATTATTATTATTATTATTATTATTATTATTATTATTATTATTATTTTCGTTACCTCAATCATTTAGCCAAAATTTAAAAGCTTACTTATCCTACACGGACAGAGGGATATTTTCATGAAGAAGTTCAGGTACCTGAAGAGCCTGAGCAACCACTAAAAAGTGCCAACTTAGGTTTCGATTTATGTGGAAACAAGGTACACTTTTGTTGGTTGCACTTTGTATTTGATTTTTCTAATAACCTTCATTTTACACCTCTAAAGTTCTATTTATTGATTTTCTTCTTGAGAATTTCACCGTCTTGCAAAATATAGTTTGTTAGATAGTTTAAAATGTGAACAAGCTAAAATATATTGCAGCTTTTACACATTACTGTGCATCTTCAACATGAGTTTAAAAATATCACTTTGGCCAATCTTACCGTTCTGATTCATCTCATATTTACCAATTTGGCCTTTGCGCTTGATTTCAAATAGACATGATTTACTTTTTCTTCTGTTTTTTTCTTGCCCTAGAAATTTATGATTCACTTCATCTGGTTCTGATCCAAACTTTGTCGGGAATGTTGGTTGGGGAATTTATATATATAAAACAAAAAAAGAACAAGTGGACAGAAAAAAAACAAAAAAAAAAAA